TTCTGTTTTGAGATACATGTCACTTCAGCTCACTAAGTAGTACCAAATGCCTAATCTGTTAAACACTGTGGGGTCTAGGGCTCTCTTTCTTACTTTTTCATGTTATTTACACATCAAACCACAAACAATAATAAACAAACAGAAAAAGCTTGGCTGCAGATGGTGCAGGGAGACTATTTCTTGCCAGAACTCAATGCTTCATTATGAGCCTGTTCTTTCAGCACTTGGCTCCAGTGATGCTCTTGTGTTTAAATAAAGAGGGTCTGAATATCTGAAAAACAAGGACTGAGGACTCCCTTATGGTTTAACTAGGTATTTACTGGTACTAATGGCAGGGACACTTGGTCATTCTGGACACATTGCTAAGGACAAAAAAGGGAAGACAGCAAGCCTAAGCTCTGGGCCAGGCTAGCCACACAGCCTGTTAGTTCACACAGACTATTTTGTCCTGCTTCAACAAGCTCTCTCCAAAACAAATCTACTTAAAAAACAAGCTAGCCCTACAAATCCTGGAAACAAGCCAAATGGAGACAGACATTTGGCCAGGAACCAGTCCTTGCTCAGTCCACCATTATTTTTCACTACCAGCACAGCCCAACTACACAAGCACTGCATAAAACTCCAGGACAGAGCCATTATTTTACTACCTCCAGGAGGATTAGGGCCAGGACTGCCTAGTCTTCCTTGTCTTGGCCTAGACCCAAGTTAATCTGATGTAGGTAGACATGTACTTTAGGATTAATTGTGTCATATGCCCAGTACCTTTCTGCAGACTGGCCTGTAGGTTTGTCTGTGCTAATTCTCTTCAATGTTTGCACGGCTGCCATCTACAGTGACAAACCACAAGGAGCACACAGAAGAGTTGTGACTGGCTGTATTAGGTACTTATCAAAGGCACTTCCTAAACCACCGTTTCTCTACATCTCTGCAGGAACAACAGATAAAGTGCACATACTCCATAAACTTGTTGTCATGGATGTTCATTATGGACATCTCATCATGCAAAGTTTTGTATTTTTTTCTATTAAGCAGATGCAACCTGAACATACAAGAGCATCCAGGAGAGAGTGTGAGCTTACCATACAAGAGTAAAATTATGAAACAGATAACAGCAAAAAATAATTAAGTATTCAATGCGACTCTTGTCTGATGCAGTAGGAAAACATATACATCCTCTATAACTAGTAGAGGACTTAAACTTCATAAGACTCAGTTTGAAAGGGGTTTAGAACATCTGAGTAGGGGGATGGGTCTGTACCTCCTCCAGTTCTCATCTCCCTAGCACGGTCTGCACAGCTCTTCAGTATATGATGATGATCTTACTCTGGGGAAGCAGGTGATGAGGAAAATTGCAAGATAAAAAGCTTAATTCCAGGAAGCAATTGCTGATGTTGCTGGCTTTTTCTCATCGCTAAGAGCAGCCCCACAAGCTGCTTGAAGGTCACGGGCTAAAATAAGTACCAACCTCAGCAATCAGAGCCAATTCCAGTCATTTGTAAAACTGACAACAAGCAGGTATGCACGAAGACTAATCACACAGGCAGATTTCCCAGCAAGGCAGACAACCTTCAGTCATGAATCAACAGCTTAACTATTCTAAACACGGTTAAAGCATTCTCTCTAACTGCCCAATTAGCCCTCAGATAGCCTTAGCTCATTCCGGAGAAGAAGAAAACAAAGGCACACCGTAGTTCTTAAATTACCACCTTACCATAAAGTTCTGCTTATCTCTTTTAATCATAAGGGAACAAGGGATTCACAATACATCCCCAGCTATAAAGAACAGCTTTCTTAGGACACCAGAGACAGCTACAATATTTAATTACTGATTAAAAAAGTCAACTAAACACAGAAGAAACAGGATCATACAACCACAGCACATTTGGGTCTCTTGAAAGTCACAGCATGATAATACAGAAACTGCTAGAATAAGATTAGAGATGGTTTTGTTTGTTTTTAATACCATTAAAGATTTCTTGAATTGAACATCATGGGTCAAAGTTAAAATCCTCAACTCAGTTCCAACCTACTCCACTAAGTGCTGAGTGATCCCTCAAAGCTCCTTGGATATGCTCAGCCTGCTGTCTCACTGGTAGCTTTTACTTCTGGCATATTGTCCCAGTACATTTTAAATGGGGGAAGACACTGTGACCTGCAAAGAAGTCAATATTCTGCCTTTGAAATACATATGCTGACATTCAGAGACTGATCTTCACAGCAGAGCTAACTGAACATGATCAGCCTTGACATTTCCAAAACTACACACTGAACAAAAAAACTTGAGGTCTCATTTGTGGCCATTATCTACTAGCCACTAAGTGGGATGGTCAAAAATGGAGACTACCTCTCTTTAGTCTTTAACATTGACTTTATTGCCTTTATTCCTTTTCCGGGATATGACTGTCTTCAAGAAGTCTAGTTCTGTTTCAAACATCACGCAAGGCTGTGAGCTTTATACCTCTTAGTTTTTCTGTATAGCATAGGCACTACACCAATGAAAAGTGAAAGCTTCCTTTTGTGTTGCTTTCATCTCCCTCCTTATAAATCCATATTCCTGTATACCTGATTTTCAGTACATCTTTTAGTACTCAAGTGTTTTTGCATCTGCATTCAAGCACTTCATCTTATTAAAACAGCATTATTTCACCTTTGTTATCACATTATGCCCAATTGGAGTATCTTTTATCCCTTGATCTCAGGCAGAGAACAGCCCACATGAGGAGGAGGTCAGAATTAAGTGTGATAATTCACACTGAATGAGAGAGGAGATAGCACCCAGTTTTCACCTTGAAAGAGTCAAGGTTCACTCACACAAGAGCAGTAAGACTATTTTCCTTGCTCTGAATAAGACAAATCCAACAAAAGGAAATGAGAATAGAGCATGAACCTTCAAAATGTCATTATTACACATCTCAGATGAGACCACTTCAAGATCAGTTTCTAGTGTCTGACAAATTCAAATTTAATCCATCTTGCCTAAACTCGTTATTAGCATTCACATTGCAGTATTATGTGATTCTTCATCTTAACCACTTAGTTTTTTTTCATTTTCCCTTTTTAGCTCTTGGACTGAAGGAATACTTAAGTCAAAAACTGAGCTGAAAAATAGTTATAAAACAAGAAAACAGATGAAACACAGTCTTCTTATATTATAGCTTAAAAAAAACCCAAACAAAAAAACCCCCAAAAAACCCCCAAACCAGGCACATTTGCATACCAAAGAATTGAAGCTCCAAAAAGATTAAATGCAACTATTGTAATTGTCTTGCAGCTGTAAGTAAAACCTAAGAAAGTAAAACAGAACAGAAGTTAGGATTCTAGGAAGAGTCCACATGTTAAAACACTTAGTAAATTCAGACCCAGACACCTCCTACTTTGTTAGATACACCAAATCTGTTGGCTCAGGAATATGACACATGGCTGTGGACATAGGCTGTTCATAAGAACAAAACTCATCTCTTACCCATTACTATTGTAGCATGACCATATAAATACCTTCAAACTGCTGTAATACTAGGAAAACAGTCCTGTACTTGAGATGTTTATTACTGCTTCAAGAACACCCAACACTACAGTAATTGCAGTTCAGCAAGCACTATTACTTACAAGTAGAGTGAGTGTTATTAACACGAGGTTTCAGCCTCATTTACTTGACTAGAAAGTGTTTGAAGCAAGAGACCATGAACTGTCTACGCTAGACTGAAATGGAATGCTCCCCTCCCTTAAAGGATATTTACTTTGAGATAGGTAAATCTCTCATAACCAATACCTCCACTTTGGAGGAATACAAGCGTTTGCGTTACTAGGGGGATTCACCAGCCTGCACAGAGAGGAATCAAGGGGAAGAAAGACTTACACACTTTGAGGGAAGTGTGTCATGACACACACATCAGTATAATCAGGTTTTAAAACCAAAATAAGAGGCTTTTTAGTTCATACTTAGTATGTCTGCTGAATAAAGTACTGATGTCAAGCATTAAGCCTATTCTTGCTTGGAAACACATACTAGTCTGTACAGATGGCTCTTAGGAAGCAGTAAGCATGGAAATTTTTAAACTCTTGCAGTAAGTGAATGCCTCAGACTTACCTTGCCATTTAGACAAGTGGATTATAGTTCTCTAAAATGCTGACCAATATGTCCAACTGATTTTTTAACTACTTTGGACAGGGACTATTATGTTTAATAGTACACAAGGTAGTGTGTGGGGGTTTTGTTTTGGGGGTTTTTCTGTTTTGTTTTTTTTAAAACATTACCTAACAAATAACTGACAGTGGGACATAAGACAGTGTAGCAGCCCAGGCTAAGATAATTCTGTCCCATCACCCTCCCTTGACATATTCAGCAGTGCTCTAGTGGCATAAGTGGTCATCTCAGACAGCCATGCTATAAGACTACTCCATACCACAAGTATGACTCAGGAGCCATGTAGCTCAATTCCATTGTCCCAGTACTACTGTTCAAGTACCTCACAGCTTTTAGCATTGCTCTCTACCGCAGTCTACCCACCAGTGTTTGAAGTTTTCCTAAAGCTCTGACAGCCAGTCTCCCTTCCTCCAACTCCCTGCAGAGCAATCCCCCTATCTGGCCTCCATAAAGGGAAGTCTGACTTTTACCTCAACACTGATGATCTTCTAAAAAGATGTTCAGAGTTCAGTGCATGTTTTCAGTCCGATATGGTAAAAAAGCTGCAGAAAATAGCTTCTGTTCATGGCTATGTGATCTTGTTTTATAGAAGAGGAAGAAACAAATAAGACTGCAGGAAATAACCTGTGTCTATGGAGATGTCACATTGTGTTGGTTCAAGCCATTCTTTATCCACTCCAGCCATCTTATAAATCCTGCTTACAGTGATTCAGTAAAAAAAGAAAACCAAAAAACCACCAAAATATCCCAACAAAAACCACCACAAACAACACACAAAAAACCACTCCACAATTCATTCCACTTACTGTTACTGCAGATATTATCTGGAGTCAGAAGATCCACAGAAGTAGAGTGCAATAAGACATTTATTAAAAGTGCTGTCAGTTATGTTAAGAGCTATAGTCTAATATTCTCTTTAAAAAAGGCATCTCATTAAAAAATATAAGCTTAAAACCATTCTGATCACTATGGTTACAGACACATGACCTGCAGTGCTCTATGAAATGTCAGACCAGCTTTGTTGATTGGGACAAAGTAATCTTCAAGTCCAGAATCCAGTCTCTACTGTAGAGGAAGAACTGCTGGGAGCTCCAGAAGAGACACCTGCAGGTACCTGGAATAGAAATACAGTTACTACAGATATTAGCTTAGCTGGCAAATCTAAAGCTATCACCTGCTTGTGCAATGCACTGGAGAAGAATCATCCTGCAATAGCACAGAAAGAATTGTTATCCCATCCATCTGTGTACTCACGGATTAGTTACTTTTCTGTTCAGAAAAGTTCTCCTCACAAGGCTGACAGAGGCTTCTGCTTCAGAACTAGAAGCTGACCACTATGCAAAGCTTGTGAGCTACAGCAGCTACAGCCCAAGCTGCTAAATCAGTCATCCAGTGCTTATAGTCTACAAGTTACAGAACACTGGCTTAGTGGTTACTTACTTTGTGTGCTTATACTTCTGCTTAATAGCTTGCAGCTGGCAATGGGGAGCATCAAGGCATGCTTTATGCAGATCACTCAGGCAAGGCACTATCTCACTTAATGAATACCCAGTGAACACAGCAAGTGTTTCTGGCTGGTCAGATGAGAAAAAAGAAAAAATAGTGTTACTCTATTGCAGTCAGTCATCTAGAAGATGCATTTCCTATGGAAGCAGAAGCCATTTTCACTACATCAGTGCTCGCTCTAGATTCTTTAGGCATGAAGAAGATTCAAGTGTACTCTGCCATCAGCTTCACTCTAGGTCTTTCCTGTTGCCATGAGATCTGACAAGCTCCTTCTGCTCTAAGCATGTGGCATCCATTACATCTCTTCTGGATCATGCTCTTTTCTAAAGCTATTCCTCCAACACACAGCTGGAAGGCCTATCAAGACTTGCGTTAGAGAAGCCACTCAGCGTAATTATTCAAATAGACACATTCAGTTCTCCCCTACTTCCCAGAAAGCCCCTGTGTTGTCTCTGGGGAAGGAGTTTTGGGGATTAGCAAGGCCATAGGTACAGGCTTGATGTAGAGTGAGCAAAACAGGGAAGTCCCTCTCATTTCAGTGAAGAGGCATAATATTTCACGTTTACTTATCGGGTAGTTGCATCAACCCGGGTGCAGCTACTCATCCTAGGTTTTCAGCCTTTATAACAAGGTACTTTGCAGCTACTCCTCCTACTTCTCAGCTCAGTTCTAATGAAACATAAAATAACAAAGTGCTTGATCTAGTTATTAACATACAGTTGTCCTTACCCAGAAAGATCTGTTCACTGTATAGTTTGCTAGACAGTAGGCTGCTGCAGCAATTTGTGAAGGGAGGTACTTCAGAAAAGGATCAGCTTGAAGAAGACTCAGCTCTGCAAGATACTGAACGAGAAAACCCTAAGTTTTTCAAGAATGAGCATAGCTGGTACAATCAGTCCAATACAGCAAGCACTAAAGTATCGTGTAAAAAACGCATGAGTTACATGTCTAGTGAGAAAAACTAGCATTCTAGTCCTGTTGATCTTACAGAAGATCCTCTAGCATGTTTCAGGGCAGACAGAAAGACCAAGTTTTGCCAAAGCCTGAAAAAAATCTACTGTCTTCTGAAGTTCTGGTCCCATCATCAGCTCTGACATAATTTTACAGATAGAGACTTAGAAAATTCGAGTTTTGTAAAAATAACAAAGACACACTCTTCCTATCCTCTAAGGCTCATTTACATAGGTGGACCCTACCTGGAGATCACAAATAAATGGACAGCTCTAAGAAGCAAAATTTGGGCTCTGCTGAAGTAGAGTCACAGTACATCCCTATACCGTTTACAGAGAAGCAAGGGGTGAGGCATTTTACTGTAAGCCTGCCCTTTCTAAGCAGGGTTGCCTACTCCATGCAAGTCCAATGCAGCTATGCAGACATTCTGTATCATTGTGTAGCAATATGCAGTAGCACCAAATCCAGGACAGACTTGCTACACAGGCACTGTTGAAAAAAACAACCGGAGTTCTACCACATAACTGCCTGTTCAGACAGATAGGCCAAACCTAGGACTTCCATGAGACATTTATCCAAAAAATCTTAGCACAAGCCACAGACCACAAAACATCCAGTTTTTAGGCCTGTTGCAGCTCCTTCAAGGATCACTTCTCCCTCCTCAGTCCCAAAAGGCAGACAGTTCTTACCCTTGCAAAGTTCTCTGTCCTCATACAGACTCCACATCTCTGAATATACTGAAGGAGGAACTGGTTGATGGTTGGGGCTGTTAGATCAAAACCAAGCACTTTGAGAAGCAGGTGCTCCATTCTTAGCAGCTGCTTCTTTGTGTAGGTATCATCTGTTATATAGACAAATTCATCCACTTCTGGTGGGTAGATCTCTTCGTACTTCCTGAAAAGGGGATATAGAAGCCACAATTGTCAGCTTGAAATTTATAGCAAAAGAAAGCTTTCTGCTGGACCTATGTCAGGATGACCATATGACATTACTAAGACTTGTGTAGAGCTCTAATTTTATTTGTTCTTCCAGGCTAACTAACAGTTTAGCTTCAAATTTGGGCAAATATGCTCAGAGGAACTCCAAGTCATCAGTCTAGATAGAAACACACTCACATTAGCTCTTGATTAATAGCAAACTTTCAGTAGGAATGTCTCAGTCACATAACACACTCCAAACAAAACCCCATGCACTAAGCTATGTTGCTTACCCTGTCTACTTAAAGCAGTTGAAGGTTAATTGCAGATTGCAACTGTGAATCTATTGCAGCCCTACAGGCTAGGAGCCCAACACAGTAGTGTTTTCACTCCTGCTGTTATGGTTACTAGATTTCCCCACTACAGTTCCTCACATCAAACATTAAATCTTTAATTTTGCTAGCGTCAACGTAGTTGAAGTTGCTAATCTTGAGACATCATGAGAAACTACCAACTACTGCAAGCTTCTTTCCTTCCTTTTCTATGAGACTGAGTCCAAAAATAAGTTTTACCTCACCAAAATTTCATTAGATGAAATACTTACGCAGCCAGAAGAATCGCTGCTGTTCCTACAAGCTGCAGCTTCCCTCTGAGAACAGACATGCAGGAAAGAAACCTGTCCAGGAAGTTCACAGCCAAGTACAAAGTCTCTGTCCGAAGTTTATACTCTTCCCCTACTTCCACCAGCCAGTCTACCAAGATGGCACGCATTCCTGTTGTGATATCTGGTTGCTTCTTCATGTAATAGGGCTTGGGCCTGAATCTTAGCTGTTTGGAAAGAGTTGAATCAGGATGCTCACCTCAAAGAGAACTATGGATTTCTGAGCTGCTTAACATTCTTTACACTTGCACTAAAATGAGCAGCAGTTGTTCCACTGTTAATAACTATTACTACTAAGTACAATTATAGTGCTAGTTGTAATAATTACCAGCTAGTGGCATCTCTAGAAAGTGGTATTTCTACACTGAAGAAATAGAAGCTACTGGATTAGCAGCAGAACAGTAAAAGACTTCCTGGACTACAGAGAGCCTTTGCCATCAAACAATTAAATCATTCAGAAGGACCCGAAAATGAACAACTCACATTTTTCCCCCCCTCTTCTTATTAGGAGCCTGCACTTCACTACTCTGACACAAAGGTAGGAAAAACTGCTTCTATAGCAGGACAGCTGTCAGTGGGATCATATCAAACTGCTTTAGTATTTTTTCAGCGTTCTATTCCCATCTGCAAGAATTCTTCATCCCAAAGAGTTGAGATGCTCCAGTCACAGGAAATTTCAGGAACATAATAATCCTGAAAGATCTTATCAGTGACTATATGCTGCCTTCAGAGATTACTTTTACTATTTGCTTTCTCTCCTCTGCAGTTCAGTGGCAGCCTTGGGTTATCCCAGGGCAGCCATACAGCCATACATCTCTGCAATACTGTAGCCCATCACAGGGACCACAAGTACCTGTAAGCTTCTTACAAGCCACTCACTTCAGCCTCTCGGAGGTACTGATGGATGTCTTCTGCATACTCTTCCACAGTCAGAGTTATGACATCTTCCATGTGATCCTCAGGCTGGGACTGGAAGGATGTGTCCACTACCATAGGAGATCCTAACAGGTAATAGGAAGCAGCAAGACATTTGTGTAACCTCTTCCTTCACCTCCTCCTGCACCTTCCTATTTTAACTCAGAAGTGTTGTGCCTCATGTAGACACAAAGTTATCTTGAAGTGTCATTTATGTAACATAAGCTACTCACTACTTTACCAGCCTCACAGTTCATAGCCACCCTACGTGTAGTTGCACTATGGATACCATCTGAGTAGTAACAGGAGTTACCTGAACTCAGATCCAATAGCAGGTGAATACTGGATGTCATTGCACTAGTATTCAGGTCACACTGGCTTGATTCCAGCTCTTCAGACACTTGGTAGCTGTAGTTTTCTTTATCTTCTGGGTCATCTATGTAGATAGCAAACCCTTGCTTCGATGCAGCGTTGAACAAGCAGCTGGGCACTTCATCTTTTCCAGATGAAGGGATGGTGTTTTCAGAGCCAGGGAAGTGCTTGGTAACAGCAGCACCCTGAAGCAGAGCACACAATATATGCTGTGGAAGGGCTACTCAGGGAGAAAACAGCAAGTGCCACTTGTTTTCAAAAAGAAAACCACTTTCCTTGCCTAACAGACACCAATAACATAAAAGTTCATGGAAAAAGCCACCAGCTACAACTGGTGCTTCAGAACTACCACCTGTTGCTGTCTTGCTGTGACAGATTCCTCATAGAAAGGGTGAGGTGTAGTGAAAATTAGGAATGGGGGGGAAGCAGCCCCACATTTAGTGCCTAACACCAAAGAGAATAAGGGTGCTGCTTGGTTCTGATGGGGCTGGAAAATACAGTCTGCTCCACATTCAATTCTGGCAAGGAGCAGCTGCAAGTGCAGCAAGTTAACATAATAAAAGTGCTTAGGCATTGCCACAGACTTATGAAGGACTTCATTTGCAAGAAGGTACTTCAAGCAGAGTTGAAAAACTGAAGTCTGAACTTTTGCGCTTAAGCATCGCAATCCCTAGGACTACAGGCTACAGTGTGACCAGCCTACAGTCCTTCACATTGTCTACTACCAGTAAGCCACAAACTGAGTTAGGGGCTTTATAGAGTCACAACCAAGAAGAGTTTGCGTACATGTACTAGCTGCTATGTTAGACCCTGTAAGTCAGCATGGTAACATTTTTCCTGCCACACCAGCAGACCCCAGGAGGATCCAAGGAACAGAAAAGCCAGACAGACAACCTGCCATGAACTTGAGCTTCTTGAAGGCTCTGGCACTTTGAAGGGAATATGGCCAGCACACAGCATTGGGACCTTTGGGTAAGCATCAGTGAACAGCCCTTCCTTAAAACTACCTGCTACACTACAGGTGGTAAATGCTCAAGTCTCCCTTTTTTCCAGGATGAATTATTTACTCAAGAGTATTTCCACGAGGAA